CTAGTTTCGACTTGCTGCTAGTCGAACGGGCAACTCTACCAGGCGAGATTCGATCCTGTCAAACGTATCCTTTCACGAGAATGTGAATTGGAGATCCGGATTTCATTTGTTTCGAACATGTATAAAATTTACTGCGTATGTTAAGGACCAGTCGCGATTTGTGTCATGTATCTTCAGGATTCGAAGGACCAAGACTTAATTTCTTTATTGTGTACACTAAGCTTCTTCCTTGAATGAAAAGTGTTAAATAATGAGCATGCTATTGACGTTCACGAGTAAACAATTACGTGCTGCAACTGATCCGTTTCATTAATTTCAATTAAGAATTTTAGAATTTAAAATTAGATAAGAATGGTTCAGACTGGTGTCCAGAAGATTCGTCACCAGTTTATTGAATAAACGTCGTCGTGTCTATAAAACTAACGAAATCAATTTCGTTTCCGCCAGCTTTCCAATCCATTACGACTAATTGGTTATTTTTTCTCATTGAGCTTAATTAAAATCCAAGTGCTACCTATTATCTGTGATCCGCAAATTCTTGAAAAAAGTAGTACTTCGATTAACAGTGTTTCAATTAGCAAGTGCTAATGAGTTCAGTGCTGTGACTCTGCCAAAGAGTATTTCAATCTTTGATTTCGGTTAAATTTAGTTCATGTATTTTGACAAAATTTCAGCACTTGAGATTAGATGCCAAATGGTATCTTCAAAAGTTTTCTTTTAAGTCGCGTTGAATTTTATTTCGTTATCACTGAAGAAAGAACGAAGTATAGTGCGTATATGTTTTTACGATCGTTTTACTGTCGTCAGCCAATGAAACAGTCTCGTGCCATTGCTAGACACGTGTGTCCGGATTCGCAGCTGTCGGTTCGACGAAAAAAAAGCAGCCACAGACGCGGTAAAAATATTCTCCGGTGCTAGTCGAACATTGGCGGATTTATTCGCAGACTTTTTCCCTGACGTGGACGCACACGAAGTCGAGGAGACCCGGTTGAACACGAGACGATCCCAAGATGTCACGCGAGGACCCAAGTCAAATGTCTTCTCGATCGCTTGCTCGGAGACACTTGAAAGAAAACTGCTCTAGTTTTATAGGATTTCACCTTTCTTAATAGGTTTCCACTTTTTCCTCCGATCTTTTTAAACGTTGACGATTATTTTGAAGTCTTTTGGACGTTACATTTCGTTTATAGATGTTACTACGATGCAAATGGTTTGAATAGAATTTTCTAAAAATATTACGTACTTTCTTATCGCTTATCTCTTAAATTCCAGCTACTTTTCATCCATTCATTGTGTCCGTTTTTTTTTTTTTTTTATTTTAGTCACCCTTTTGTAAATTGATTCTAATTGATTCTCACTGAATTTTGAAACAACTGTGTCAGAAATAAACACTTTTCTTTCACTTTATTATCTCACCGCATCAACGTCCGTAAACTTAAATATGAAACACTGTTTCTCGAAGAAGGATTTCTATTTTTGTACAAATTACACGCGTGATATCACGTTTTTACAATGCAAGAAGCCTTACGGTAGGCCTTAAAAGAGTTAATTTCCTATATTAAAAAAAAAAAAAAAAGAAGCAGTAAAAATGTCAGTTTGCGTACAATACGTAATAACATTCGTCGAACACATTGACTTACACATTGGCAGACGCGTGTATACTCGACGCAATATCGCAGAATGCTAATTTCCCTCTGTTTATCTTATCGTTAAATTCCAACTGGCGGCCGGTTATATACTCGTTAAAGCAGATAAAATGTTTAGACTATAGACACAATGGTTATTCCGCATATTTTGACGCGTTGCGTCTGCCCGCGGCGATAACCGAACGCGCGTACCGGTTAACCGCGTATTGCGCGATTAAAATTGCTACCGATTAAACTCGTGTTATAAAGTAGGTCTGTGCGTTTGTTTCGGAGTTGTCACGTCTCGCTCGCGACCGAAACACCACTGCGAAAGTTTAACCTTCCGTAACAATTACACGGCCGAATTTTCTACCGGTAATTGGCCTTTGACACGCGTAAATTTTTTTTTTTTTTTTTTTTTTT